AGTTCTAAAATCTTTAAAAACAACTAGAAACGTAGACTATATCAAGTTCTACATCTTCGGCATAAAATGAAATTTTTCAAACGTTTTATTCCATAAATAATGCGAGATGAAACATGTATTCAATTCGGTTTTCTTTACAAAATGTCCTCCGAAATTTTGAAAACTCTTTTGTTTACCATTTCAGAAATGGTTGTTCATTTAAGCGCCTACATGCTACTCTTTTTTCCGTTTTTTGGCGAAAATATGTGATACAAAATTTCAACTCTCATATTTGCATTATGAGAAAGAAAATCTCATTTCTCATCGAAAATATCCATCGCGATTATTTTGTCTATATTCCGACTAAAACAATATCAAGTTTCATCTCATCTGATATCACTACTATTTGTTGTTACTAAAGCTATTCGTCTGTGATCACGAGTATTTTATAAGATCTAAAATTTGTCTTTTATTTCACTAATGATGTGGCAACAACTATGCTATTTACTTTTTCATATTTTATAGAAGAGACTAATGGAAAATATTCATAAAAACCTACAAGCGTCTAGCACAGTTCATAAAAATATGGAGGTGCTGTAAATTTCACTTATTCTACTCAGATCCATATTCACAGTCGATTTAGAAGATCATAGAAACTTTTATGTATAGTTTTTTCTCTGACAGATTTTTTATTATAATTTGCTGGTTCTTAGTTTTCCGTAAGGTGTCTATCATCAACTAGAGCTTGAACAAATGTTACAGGAACAACTTTGCAAATCCTTGATTCGTAGAGTTACAAAGTGAAGTCAGTCATTTTTGGAGAATGGCTGCATGACCCTCAGTTCTTAGCGTACTTTGTAGAGCATAGTATTGTCTTTCATGTTGTCCGCAAAAAATTGCTAACAAAGCATATCTTATAGTGAGCGTTATTGCTGAGAATGAGATCTACTTTTTAATTTCTGATGCAAAAAAAACCATCAAAACTTGAAGTAGTCAAACAAAACGAAATGGGACTAAGTGAAATGGGCATCTTGACGACAGATATACTAAAGTACAACATTTGCAATAAGGATGTATATCATGATTCCATAATGATTCAGTACGATTTTCCTCGATTATTATGCCGTTGACTTCATGGCCATATATCAAATATATGGGCTTATTCATCAGTTAATTGCTTGTTATATAGCTACATCCAATAGACAATAGCTAACAACAAATTACACATCGAAAGTTTAACGTTGTACCTTTCAATACAGCATCGAGGTCTACTTTTAAGATGCTTAGAAATAGGCAGATAACTAGTCAATAGTTGTTCACAAGAGCAGCTAGCATCGAAATTGTTTTTATGTCATCAAATATAGTTTATCCGTTAGCAAATGAATTTGATCATCATTATAATTATACATGATCATGGTTTGTAGACATGTATATTATCATTTCTACTTTATTATTACATTTTACTTTGGAAACATATGACTGTTCCACATGATACTGTCTTACTTTTGCATAATCTTAAATTTTCTTAAAATTATTGTTTTTGAAAACTGAAATGTCAATTTTTGATTTGATAGACGAATATTAAATGACTATATTATAAACGAAACCAGATTCTGGTTTATACAAGGCACTATCTATATTTCTTGGATCTTCACAGATAAATTTTGTCTGTTGTTAATCTTTGAAAAGATGATTGACAATATTAACATCAGAGCTCGATTCGCTTATCTCATTTTATGAAGACACATTGTGCCCTTTAGAAAATATAAACGATAAATGTATTTAAAGCTTCGATAATGCATCATGAAGTCGGCAACTTCATCACCAGTCATCAATTCGAGTGCAAGACGCACTCTAAGTTTGAGCAACCTATATACAACCTTGTGACCACCCTTTTCAACTTCACTACCAGCAATTCTATCAATAGCATTGTAATTATTTTAAAATGATGCATCCAATCAAATCTTCTTACTTTTCATCATATCATACAGTGAAGCAGAATACGAAGAATAACCATAAGGATTATAATATTGAATTTGATTGGAGTAAGTATTGTACGATGAATACCAACTCGTGATATTTTTACGTAAATCAAGGTGTTTCATCGAAAATAAAACATGACCTTCGATTGTGTATAGTAGTTAATGTCTATATAGTTAATCTATCAATGCAACAACCTTTCGGTAGCGCAAAGTTTGATTTCGAAGCACTGTTTTCTTCCGAGTTGAGAAAGGGAGGGCCCGATAATTGATGAAACTGGCATCATACAGAAATTAGATATTTGTGCCATGTCAAACTGACACTTAAGACGCTTGAAAGTAATTCCTAGTAGAATAAGACCGATAGCATTTGTTTGTGTTGTGTCTTGGTCGATTGAAATAGTCAATAACTGTCCTACGTACACTATACCTGGTTGTTCAGTTTACTTCAAAATGCTATAAAAATATCCCGAAATCAAACATTGTCCCAAATGTCTCGAATAGCAGTGTTATCGGTCGACAGCTGGCGTCAACATTCACCAGTTTTATGGCCAACCAACCTGGTTTTCATACGGTTCGAAAGTACTTTTTGAGCACTTTAAAATGGCATGAAAGCATCGAGTGAACAACATTGACTATGTAAATAAATTTCACAGATACTATTCTCAAGTCAGTATTCATTGGTTATTTTGCATGATGTTTAGTAGAATTCGATTAGAAAAAAATACGATCTAGATCAAAACTATTACAGTATTCTGAAATGGCGTCCAAAATAAAGTGGGCTTATGTGCATTTAACAATTTTCGCGACTTGCTTTTTCTTCAAAAAATC